TCTTGGCAGTGAGTTTTTTTGGATTCAACACCAAAAGCAAAGGCAGCAAAAGCAAAAATAAACAAGTGGGATAACTTCAAAGTAAAAAGCTTCTGCACAGCAAAAGAAAACCATCAACAAAATGAAAAGAGTAACCTAAGGAATGGTAGAAAATATTTGCAAATCATAAATCTGATAAGGGGTTAATATCTGAAGTATAGGAAGAACTTACACAACTCAATAGCAAAAAAATCAAACAGTCCAATTAAAAATTGAGCAATGCAGCTGAATAGACATTTTTTTTTTCAAAGAAGACATGTGAATGGCCTACAGGTATACAAAAAGGTACTCAACATCACTAATTATCTGGGAAATAGAAATCAAAACTACAATGAGTTATCATCTCAACACCTGTTAGGATGGCTGTCATCAAAAAGGTGGGATAACAAGTGTTGTTAGTGAGGGTGTGGAGGAAAGGGAACCCTTGTGCACTGTTGGTAGGAATGTAAATTTAGTGTAGTCACTATGGAAAACAGTGTGGGGGGTTCCTCAACAAAATAAAAATAGGACTGTCATGTGATCCAGAAATCCCACATCTGGATATATATCCAAAGGTAAAGAAAAGAGGATCTCAGATGCTGTTCATCGCATCATTATTCACAGTAACCAAGACCTGAAAACAACTTAAGTGTCCTTCAACAGATAAATGAATAAAGAAGATATGGTATATATACATGGAATATTTAACTATGAGAAAGGACATCCTAGCATTTGTGACAAAATGGATGGACCTCGAGGGCATTATGCTAATAAGCCAGAGAAAGACTAAGTACTCTATGATTTCACTTACATGTGGAATCTAAAGGGGCACCTGGGTGGCTCAGTCTGTTAAGCATCTGCCTTCAACTCAGGTCATGATCTTGGAGTCCCAGGATCAAGCCCCGTGTCTGGCTCCTTGCTTAGAGGGGAGCCTGCTTCCCCCTCTCTTTCTCCCCCCTGCTCTTGCTCTCTCTCGTTCTCAAATAAATAAAATCTTAAAAAGCTGAATTCATAGAAACAGATTAGTGGTCAGTAAGGGCAAGTGGTTGAGGGAAAAGGGAAGATGTTGGTCAGAGAGTACAAACTTCCATCTATATGATGATAAGTTCTGGGGATCTAATGTACAGCATAGTGATTATAGCTAATAATACTATGTACTTGGGGCGCCTGGGTGGCTCAGTGGTTAAGCGTCTGCCTTCGGCTCAGGTCATGATCTCAGGGTCCTGGGATCAAGCCCTGCATCGGGCTCCCTGCTCAGCGGGGAGCCTGCTTCTCCCTCTCCCACTCTCCCTGCTTTGTTCCCTCTCTCGCTGTCTCTCTGTCAAATAAATAAAATCTTTAAAAAAAAAAAAAAGATACTGTATACTTAAAATTTGCTAAGAGATCTTAAATGTTCTTACCACAAAAAAGAAATGGTAATTATGTGTGATACAGGTGTTAGCTAATGCTATGGTTCTAATTTGTAATTTTAAAAAGTAGATATATATCTCCATTTTATAGAAAAGTCTCAGAAGTTAAATAATTTTCTGAAGAACATAGCTACTCCTCACTATATCATTCTTATTCCTACCTTCCAGCACCCCAAAACATGTTGAACAGATGATCCATGATTCTAATCCTCAATTTGCTGTTTTCATCTACTCTCAGCAGTTAGAGGTTCTCTTCCCCAACCTTACGCTGTCTTTCCATAACTGTTGTTATTGTATTCTCTTCCTTTTTCTGTTTTTCTGTCTTTGGTATACTTTGGCTTTTCAGCAAGAGTAGATGTCCCCTGGCTGTCTGTGCTGGTATTCAGGGAGCAGATACTTGACTGCCTCAAAGGGAAAAAAAAAAGAGAAAGATGTCTTTGTGACAACTTGTGTTCTTAGAGCTTTCACAGAAGACTGAGGGTTCTAGAATGCTGGTTTTGAATAGGAAAGCTTGATTAGAACTTTGGTTCTGCCTTACATGTCAAGGGTGCTTTATCTACCTGAAAGACTGGCTTGTTTTTATTGTCAGGTAGAAATGAAAGAAAAGAAATAGTAGTTGCCCATCCAACTCACTATGAATGTTTAAATTAGGATATATGAAATACTCATCTCTTCTGAACTATAATGTAAATGTAGATTACAACGTAGGACTTTGTGGTACATGTTAAAATGTATTTAGTGGGAAGCAACCATAGTGGACTTTAACTATTTTTGACAGTTAAAGTAGATGTTGGTATTTTTGTCTTAAAATGGAATCAGACTTTCAGAGTTTTAGATCTGTGATCATTTTAAATATTGGGAAAGTACAGCCTCTGTTCCTTGCCCAGGGTTACATGGTAGCTGTGGGACACTTTTATCTAGATTTCCTGATTTGGTGGAGGGCTTTTTCTTTTAAGACATTCTGGCTGCCCTCATGTAGGAATCATTTTTCAGATTTTTTTCTTACTGTTAGAAGTTAATTTCAAATGAGAGTTTTTCAGGTGTATAGATTTAATGAAAGATGGTTGGAAGGATTCAGCTGTAGAAGATTTTGCTTCCATCTTTACTGGAGAGAACTTAAGAATGTTTGTTTTATTTTTACTCTATAACTTTCTCTTCAAAACAGATACCAAAAAATGGGCATAAATTCTTTTCTTTGAGGTATTCATATGTATATGGTTGTTTATTCTAACTTAGTTTGTCTTTTTTAACTTTTTTTTCCCCCGAAGATTTTATTTATTTGAGAGAGAGAGAGCACGCACGAGCAGGGTGGAGGGGCAGAGGGAGAGGGAGAAGTAGGCTCCCAGCTGAGGAGGGAGCCCAGTGTGAGGCTTGATCCCAAGACGCAGTGATCATGACTTGAGCCGAAGGCAAATGCTTCATAGACTGAGCCATCTAGGCATCCCTGGGTTTTTTTTGTTTGTTTTTTTAACTTTTTAATCTTACTGCTAAGTAATAATAGAGGTATTACTTCTACCTTTTTAACATTATGTGTGGCTAGGGCTTTGGAGTGACACATTTAGGCTTCAGTGGCTGTGGAAACACTCTATATACATACACTGTTACTATCTTTCAGTAACTATGATGGATGTCCAGCCAGTAGTTTGGTGAATTGACTAAGCTGTGGGAGGAGGTCAGGGGCCTTTGTCATAAGTTCCAGCTTACATTTACTAGTGACTGGGCAAATCACTAGCTTTCGGCCATTCAGTTTTTTGGTTTATAAGTTGGGGTAATAAAGTCTGCCCTAACCACCTTCATGGAATTTCATTTAATTAAAATACTTTTTTAGGTGTGCATATAGAAGCACTTTATAAATGGTAGTATACTCTAATGTGGAGACTTTTAAAGATTTATTTATTTTTATTTGAGAAAGAGAGAGAATAAGCCAGAGGGGCAGAGGAAGAGGAAGAGAATCTCAGGCAGACTCTGTGCTGAGCATGGAGCCTGACAGGGGGCTTGATCTCACAACCCTGAGATCACGACCCCAGCTGAAACCAAGAGTCAGATGCTCAACCGACTGTGCCACCCAAGTGCCCCTAATGTGGAGATTTTTAATGCCACTGTCATCCAGAGGAAGTATGTTTGGATTTAATGATGTGACTTTAGAGAAGATGTGGAGACAAAATTAGAGGTGAAAGACCTAGTTGATGAAAATGTATGCTAATAAAATAGAATGGAATCAGCTACTATAAGGGCCCAAGGAACCAAGTTTTCTAATTTTTGGCTTAGTTTTGTTTTTTGTTTTTTGTTTTTTTTTTTTAAGAGAGGGGAAGGGAGAGAGAGTCTTAAGCAGGCTCCATGCCCATGCTCTGTGGGGATGCCATCTCCCAACCCTGAGATCATGACCTTAACCGAAATTAAGAGTCAGATGCTTAACTGACCGAGTCACCCAGGTGCCCCTTGGCTTAGAATTTTTATACCTTATTCTGTAACGTAGGTCTGTAAACAGTATTGTGGGAATCGTGTGATCCAGAAAAAAATTTTATTTTCTTCATTTTTATAATGACCTCATGAACTGATTGATCATCTTCAAATATTTTACTATAACTGATTTATATCAGTGAATATGGAAAAGAAAGAAAAACTGAAGTACCAGGCACTGTGCTAGATACTTTCAGGTCTATTACTTCTCTTGATTCTCAAAACTACTTTATAAAACAATATTAACACCTGTTTTGGAAATGAGGCAACCAAGGCTTTACAGTATCATTAATTATGCATATAAAATCATCTACCTACCAAGTGATGAACCTGGCATTCAAGCCCAGGTCTGTCTGTAACTTGAAATTCCATACATTGTTTTGTATTGGATATGGTTGAAGAAGGGAAGCAGTAGAAGTATCAAAATGAAATTTAAGTGTATAAAATATTGTGTAAAGAGTAGGATTTATATAAATTATTACAAGTTATGAAAATAGCATATGACTTTTCTATTGTATTAGTTAGAAATTTACCTTGATGATATTTTGGCGTTACTTATTTCATTGAATATAATTCAAGATACAACATTGAAATCAGTATGATGTCCTGTTTATTTTAAATACTCTTAGTGTATTAGTTAATTGTCAGTGTCTTTTGTTCCTTAAGATGAATTTTTGAAGTTTTATATAAATGAAATTAGGAGTCAGATCTAATCTGTATGGCCAAAAGGAATTGCTACTTAAATTCTGTGTTGAATATTTTTGAAAAAGTAAATAAAGAATGTACATGTTATCTATATACAGTTGGAGGCTTACATGATTTTAATGTAAGTGGGATGTACTTTTTTTTATTATTAAAGATTTTATTTATTTATTTGATAGAGTGCACAAGCAGGGGGAGTGGCAAGCAGAGGGAGAGGGAGAAGCAGGCTCCCTGAGGATCAGGAAGCCCTATGTGGGGCTCCACCCCAGGACCTTGGGATAATGACCTGAGCCAAAGGCAGACGCTTAACCAGCTGAGCCACCCAAGCACCCCTGGGATATACTTCTTCATTTATTGGAAGTTTAAATGCTTTTGAGAATTGTAATAGAACTGTTCTTTTGTTTTTGTTAGGTGTTAGACAAACCCAGTAGGCTAACTGAAAAGGAACTTGCTGAGGCTGCAAGCAAGTGGGCTGCTGAGAAGCTAGAGAAGGCAGATGAGAGTAACTTACCTGAAATTGAGTATGAGGTAAGGCATAGTTTCCCCTTGATGTTTCACATGAAGAGTTTTGTCTGGATCTTAAATTATGGGTGGGAAGTGTTTGATTTGTTCTAGTACTTTAAAATACATATGGGGAAAATAGCCTCATGGATTATAAACATTTACCACACAGAGTAATAGTATGAATATGAGTGATTCTGAGTTCAATAATTGAACTATACCTGAATTTCTCCAGTAGTATAGAAGTGAGAGAATAAATAGGGAGGATAAGGAAAATGCTTTATTTATCCTTATATGGGCTTTGCTGTTAAAAGTATCTCTAGAAATCATGGTAAGCCACTGGTCATAAACCAGTCAATTCAGAATAAGAATCTACTTAGACCTTGGATCTTGGGCTATATTTATATCACATGTTATATTCTATGGAAATTATCTCATAAATATCCCAGGAAATGAAATGACACATTGTTTGAGTTACCTGTGATCTTTGATGAGTCTTGAGTACCAAAAGATGAGAGCATTTTTGGGTCCATAAAATACTGTTTATGAATTTTTGCATTAAAACATTTGAAAATGAACTCAAACTTTTCTGTATAACCCATAACATCTCTAACAAGGAAATATAGATGTTTCATTGGCAAAATTAAGCTTTAGACTCAGGAATTGGTGCTAAAGGAATTATTTTGGTATGATACGCAGAGAATATAAAAATCTCTGTACCATAAGAGATTATATAGATTTGAAGATTTCTGGCTTTTCAATACATTTTAAGATACCTTTTATAGAAGGCCCTTTGATAAAATGGATCAAGCATTAGAATTTGATCTAAAATGTATATACCTACATAAATCTTTACCTACAAAAATCTTTTCCAAAATAACTAATGTACACTGCTCATAGAAAGTACAAGCCACTATAAACCCTATCAGTACATATACAAATAAAGCCCCTCTTTTTTAAAATGCTTATCTGTCATTTAGATATCAATTGTTCTTAAATAGGTCAAGGTTTCCTTGTTATTGTACCTATAATAGAAGGTATTTATACATATTCTTGAATGAATATATCAACATCATCTAGCTGTCCCTTTTTGGCACCTTTCCATCACTATTTAAAAGCATGAACAATAAAGTAATTTATAGGGCCATTTTGTTTATTTTCTTAATAATTAGCATAGTGGTTTTTATATTAATAATAGGTTTATATACTTCAAAATTGCTATTTTGGAGAACTGATCATTTTTCTCAGAGTACTTAAAAACTTCAAAAATACCACTTTCTTGTTTGCTTAATACTCTTCAGTTAGCAAGGCTTTATTAAGATATATTCATCTTTCCCCCATCACTTTTTATACCTCTTAATTAAAAAAAAAAAACAGTCCTCACTATCAACCTTCCCCAGATTTTAAATATTTTACTTACTGCTTGAGTGGATCTTGAGTCTTAATAGTCAGTGACATTGGGTCTAGAAAGACTTTCTTTTTAACCTCCTTATTTTTTTCTCTTAAAAATGCATAGGATTTGCTAGATTTTGAATTAATAAATAGCACTAACAACCTGTAAGTGGGGTGATAGGTCAGGCACGATCTTTTGTTGAACCAGAAGCAAGATGAGTGAGGGTAGGATTGAGATCTCTTTGATATGTTTGTTACATGGTATACATCATTAATGTTGAGCAACAACATCAATTTCATAGCACTGTCTAAAATGTTTTTCAAGTTAGATTGATACTTTCTTGTACTGGAAGTAAAGCATTGGGGAAATTTTTATGATACTCTAGTTCTTTTATTTAAAAACCTAATCCCACCGCAGTTTATTAACATTTTGCTCAGATAGTAATATTTGTTCTCAGGCAATTGTTAAATAGTTACTCATTTTAGTGATCTGTGCTTTTTGAGAAATAGAATTTTGACTTTGATTCTGTAAACTCATATCTGATTTAACAGAATAAGCTGGGAGGAGAAAAGGACTTTGATGCTAGGAAAGAGACTGACATAATACTGTGTGTGTGTGTTTAAATGTACTTGTGGCAGTATTTTTATTTTATTTTAGTTTTTTTTTTTTTAAGATTTTTTTAAAGTAATCTCTACACCCAACATGGGGCTCGAATTTAGAAACCCTGAGATTAAGAGCTGCATGCTCTACCAACTGAGCCAGCCATGTATGTACCCCTTTATGTTAGTTACTTAAGTAATGGTCCATGTACTTCAGAAACATTGTGTAGATTCATTTTTATGACTAGAGAGAGATTAAATATTTAGTTTTCCTGTTTAACTTCTCTTGCTGTGAATATAATTTTAAGCAATTCAATTGGGAGAACATGTCATTTACAGAAAGTTCGGTGAAATTGAAGATACATTCAGTGACATACTTAAATATCCAGGAATGTTGTAATTCAGTCTACTGTTCAGTTTTATATTTGGGCTCTAATAGAGAATTTCTCAAAGTATTTGATGGAGTACTAATTCTAGAGTCTTAACGATCTGAGGGGGAAAAAAAATTCTATTAGCCAGTATGTTTGGGAAATGCTAGATTTAAAAGAGGTAGGTTATTTTGATATTGCAGCACTTTTCAGAGATTTTAATATGTTAATATGCTCATCAGTGGTCTCTGAAGGAAGATAAATAATAAAATTTGCATAATTTAGCAGACTTGACTATGAAATTTTTCACAGTGCATATTTTAGGAGTAGTATTTTAAGTTACATATTTTCAGAAAATAGTACCATTCTGGCTTTCTCATAATTTATTTAAATTCACTGAATACTCATTCTGCATCTTCTTGTGTCAAATACTGCATTAGAGACACCATCCTAGCTGTCTGGGAGCTTGCAGTCAAATTTTGTAGAGACGTAATTTACCATCCTCAAACAAATGGCCATGTAGCTTTTTGGCTATCAGAGTGAAAAGCAGATTACTTGGAGGCAGTACCTGTCCCAGTAGAACAGGTTGCTTCTTCCTATAGAAGAAAATTTTGACATTTTTCTTAAGTGTGAATGTATGATTTATGTTGTTCCCACATGTGAAGTGTCATTTTCTTTTTTTTTTTTTAAAGATTTTATTTATTTATTTGAGAGAGAGAGAAAGAGCACAAGAGGGGGGAGCGGGAGAGGGAGAAGCAGACTCCCTGCTGAGCAGGTAGCCTGATGCGGGACTCGATCCCGGGACCCCAGGATCATGACCTGAGCCGAAGGCAGTCGCTTAACCAACTGAGCCACCCAGGCGCCCTGAAGTGTCATTTTCTACTTCAGTATCTCTGCTTACTCTTCTCCAGTGTAGAATACCCATCTTTTGTGGCCTTCTTTCTAATTCATATTCATTCAGTGGAATCTAGTGTTTGAGGTAAAACTCAAGATCTTTCTTGATTCTGCTTTCTTCCCCTTTCTATTTTAAAATTTTATGCTGCTTTGTCACTGATGAATTTATCATTGCCTTTATTAAAATATTGTTTTTACTTGTCTAGTTATATGTACACTGAATGCATCTGAAGCACTTGTCTTGTTTTCCCTCTACAGTACCTTGAATGGTATGTATCTAATTAGCTTAACCTAATTTAATTGTTAATAAGCCCTTTTAGTATCAGCTCAAGTTATTTTTCTCTTCTTGCTATTTGTTTTCCAAAAACGCATTATCTGCTCTGATGTGCTTTCTGTCCTCATCAATTTATATTTTTGTTTGTCGCCCTGGAATTATGATGAAACCTGATGAAACCTGAAATTCCTATTTTTAATGTGCTTTAAACTTTAACAGTTCTTTTTTTCTTTTTTTTTTTTGAATTAACCTAACTCAAATGGAATCTAGTGGCAGATTTTGATCTTGGGATTTAGTCAGAACTGGTAGTATAAGTTATCCAACTTCCTTAACGTCATTCAAAACTAATTGTTGCTTGCCTGGTGTTAGAAACCTGATATTGATACCGGGGTTTCTATCTTAAATATCTTTAACATAAAATTTACCATCTTAACCATTTTTAAGTGTATAGTTCAGTGGTATTAAATACATTAGCATTATTATACAGCCATCCCCCACCATTCATCCTCATAACTCTCTTCACTTTGTAAAACTGAAACTATACCCATTAAATGATAACTCCCCAAAGCAATTTATCAGTAGATCTTCCCAGCCCCTGGTAACCACCATTATGTTTTCTGTCATTAAGATTTTGACTATTCTAAGTATCTCATGTAAGTGGAATTGTACAGTATTTATCTTTTGTGATTGGCTCCTTCATTTAGTATAATGTCCTCAAGGGTCATCCATGTTGTAGCATATTACAGAATTCCTTCCTTACTAAAGCTGAGTACCACATTTTGCTTATCCATTCATCTGTCAGTAGACACTTGGATTGCTTCTGCGTTTAGCTATTGTGAATAATGCTGCTATGAACATGGGTATCCAAATATCTTCAAGACCCTGCTTTCGATTCTTTTGAGTATATATTCAGAAGTGGAATTCCTGGACCGTATGGTAATTCTATTTTTAATTTTTTGAGGAACTTCCATACTGTCTTCCACGGTGGCTGTACCATTTTATATTCCCACCAGCAGTGCACAAGAGTTTCAATTTCTCCACATCCTCACCATCACTTGTCATTTCCTGGGTTTTTGCTAGTAGCCGCCCTAATGGGTATGAGGTGGTATCTCATTGTAATTTTGATTTGCATTTCCCTAATGACTAGCGATGTTGTTTTTTCTTGTGCTTAATGGCCATTCGTATATCTTCTTAGAAGAAATGTTTAAGTCCATTCTTTATTTTTAATTGTTTCCTCGTTGTTGAGTTTTAGAAGTTTTTCTGTATATTCTATATATTAACCCCTTATCAGATATGTGATTTGCAGATATTTCTCCCATTTTGTGGGTTACCTTTCTACTCTGTTGATAGTGCTATTTGATAAGCAAAATTTTAAATTTTTCGTTAAGCCCAAATTTTGTTTTTTCTTTTGTTACCTGTGCCTTTGGTGTCATGTAGAAGAAATCATCGGCAAATCTAAAGTCATGAAGCTTTTGTCCTGTGTTTTCTTCTAAGAGTTTTATTATTTTAGGTCCTACATTTAGGTGCTTGATCCCTTGTGAGTTAATTTTTATATATGGTGTTAGGTAAGGGTCCAACTTCATTCT